GTGTCCACGGCCTGGGCGACACCAAGCTCCATAGTCTGAGAGTGCTGGCGGCTCACGCGGAAGGCAGATTCCCTCGGGGGTCGTCCGCGGGTCTTTACCTGGGCTGCGGGCGCCAAGGGTGGAGGCGAGACACTCTGATTTTGACCACAGCGGACTCGGTTCGCCATTATTGTGAGGTCCTCAGCGACGGCCAGCTTTCAAGGGCGCCGGGGAGGCTCTCGTGATCTCTGCCAACAAGAATGCGGCGACCGACCGACCATGGGTAACTTGTGAGGATCCTGTGGCGGCGGCGGTGATCACAGCCCAACGCGTGGGCTGGGGGCTTAAAAATGCTGCGACGGCGGTTGACGATCGGGGGGCGGAGTGGGACCTCCGATTGTTCTCGCCGGCTTGCATCGCGTCTTAGATCTCGTTCTCGGCGCGAAGGGCCTCGGATAGCAGAAGAGGAGGAGGAGGAGGAGGAGGAGGAGGAGGAGGAGGAGGAGGAGGAGGAGGAGGAGGGGCTCTCGGGCCGCAGGACGACGCGCGGGCCGCGCATTTGCGCCGGAGGCCCCTCCTGGAGCTGCCGTGTTCGGACTGGTCGGAGACCCCGGGCCGCCGCGAGCAGGACGCGCTTCGGGGGCTGATGTCAGGGTCTCTCTGGGCCCGAGGCAGGCTCCCACGATCGGGAGCGGACGATCCCCGAGGTCTCCCAGCTGCGCCAGGAAGAGAAAGGGGCGCGATGTGTCACGGATGCTACGCATGCCCTGGTCCTGAGCAGTCTCGGAGAGATTACATGCCAATGAGGGCTGTGCAGGTCTGTTGCCAGAATCAATGATGGCCCTCTCCAACTGGGAAGGAAAGGTCCGCGCGAGGATTGTTTCCTGAGCCTGGCCAGCGCGTGTGCGACCCTTCGGATTTTAGCGTGGGCGCTGCGTTGGGATCCGGGGCCCACCCTGATGGAGGGGCCAGGGAGGGGTCTTGATCACCACAGCGACCTCGCGAAGTAGGGGTTGGGGTGTAGCACGATAGTGAGGGGGCGCCATGCGGTCCAGTCGAGCGTTCCACAGGGTGGAACAGGGCACGGCTATATGAGGATCGCGATACTTGTCCCAGTGCGGGTGATCGCAGGGGATTGCCCTGTAACTAAGGTCGCGCCCTAATGTCCCGCGGCAACCGGAGCAGGTAGGAGGGCAGTGTGCGACAGGATGTGTTCGGTGGCAAACCAACAGGCCCACTCGGCATTTGACTGGCCCTGAACACAACAATATCAGTACAGCTCCAGTCCCTTGTTTCTCTCAAGCGCTGAAGACATAATGATGGCCTAGATCCTACGAATCACGTGCTGCGAGAAAGCGTATCTATTTTCGCGGTAGAAAACAACCACATTTGGAGACCCTAGATCACGACACAGACGGAGCATCGGCACATTTAGAACGATAACCACCACCTAACGAGACCCAAACATAACAGCGAGCCGGGGTAGGAATGTAGGACACCAAGAGATCTGAGCTTCCTCCAGCGCACGCCGATTTCAGACAACTCAACCTTTCTGGCCCAGTTGTCTGCTACAACGTGGCCACTGCGGGTACACGCGGGACAAGGGACGGACGGCACATCACACACACATAACCACATAGCACCTCGCGCGCGCACACCTACGCCCGACACCCGACCCCGCGAAAGAGTTTGCGGGTCCAGGACGCTTCCTGAGGCGGAGAGCATGATGTAGAGTCCCACGATATGGCCCTCCCTCCTCTCGAGCCTCCTGCTGCTGCGCCTGCTGGGGATCATCCAGGGCCCGCCTCAGAAGACCCCGAATGGCTTCGGGGCAAGGGTGTCCAGCCCTGGCGTGTGAACGGTCACTGTATTGATAAGAGCTCGGTGCCAGATGACGTTCCAATAATTGATTGCCCGTCCTGCTGGCAGTATGCGACCATCCCCATGCAGCGAGGTCTCACTGGGCCATGCAAGGGGCCCAAGAAGATCTCGGGGGGGTCGGCGTACACCGTCAGGAAAATGCTGCGTGAAGGTTTTCACCCTGTGGCTCACCCTCAGGTGGCGCCCGGGCCTTCAGGGCGTCGGCGGAGACCAGGGGCCGTTTCTCAAGGCATTTGGGGGAGGCCCCTGTCGGGGCGGCGTCGGCTCCAAGAGCGCCGAGGGTCGTCCCGTTTTCGAAGCAAGCTGTGGCGCCTCGCCTCGGCATTGATTCCGTGCTGCTCGCTTGTGGCTTCAGCTCCCGAGAGGAGGCCGAGGTGCTTGGTCGACAGGTGCTCCTGGACCGAGCTTCTGCGGGTGCCGCGGACCCAGAGGCTGAAGGATAAGTTTCTGGGGGGTGGGGGGCCCTGTCGGCAGGGCCCGTCCGAAGTGGGTCACAACCAGAACCTTCGGATACTGTCTGGCTGACTCGTTCTGAAGGGGCACCCTTGCCCCAATTGTCATCTCTCCCCTTGACTCCAGCTATGGAGCGGTGATGACCATCTCCTCTCATCCTCATCCTTCTTACTTTCCTCCTCCTCTCCTCCTACCCCTCCTCTCCTCCTTCCTCCGTCCTCCTGCCTACACTCCTCACTCCTCCCTTCCTCCGCATTCCTCTCCACTCCTCCTCCTCCTCCTCCCAGCAATACAGAAGCAATACCAGACAGCGTTTGGTGCCTTCAGTGCAAGGAAGCACTGTGTAGGTTGGGTGCTTGGGTTTGTTGTCTGGAATGCAAGGAAACAATATGTATGTTTGCTGTTGTTTGGTTTTTTCCCAACTATCCTCTGGTGTTGGGCCCTCGTTTTGAACAGACAGCGCCCGCGTCCTTCCTCCCGCTGCCCCCCCCTCCCCCTCCCCATCATCAGCATCCCGATCATCAGCATCACCGTCACCATCATCATCATCACCATCATCATCACTTCGGCACACCCCTCACACGCTTCGTGGCCCCATAGGGAGCTCCACCGAAGGCCACAGTGACTGCGTTCACATGCGCCCACCGCACCCATTTCGGCACACTCTTCACACGTTTTGGGCCCCACAGGGAGCTCCACAGAAGGCCACAATGGCTGCGTTCACATGCGCCCACCGCACCGATTTCGGCACACACACCTCACACGTTTCGTGGCCCCACAGGGGGTCCCACCGAAGGCCATAATGGCTGCGTTTACATGCGCCCACCGCACCCATTTCGGCACACCCCTCACACGCTTCGTGGCCCCACAGGGAGCCCCACCGAAAGCCACAGTGGCTGCGTTCGCATGCGCCCACCGCGCCCATTTCGGCACACCCCTCACACGCTTCGTGGCCCCATAGGGAGCTCCACCGAAGGCCACAATGGCTGCGTTCACATGCGCCCACCGCACCAATTTCGGCCCACACCTCACACGTTTCGTGGCCCCACAGGGAGCTCCACCGAAAACCATAATGGCTGCGTTTACATGCGCCCACCGCACCTATTTCGGCACGCCTCTCACACGTTTCGTGGCCCCAAAGGGAGCTCCACCGAAGGCCATCCTCATCATCATCACCATCACCCCTCGCACGTTTCGTGGCCCCATAGGGAGCTCCACCGAACGCAGCAATGGCTGCGTTCGCATGCGCCCACCGCACCCATTTCGGCACACCCCTCACACGCTTCGTGGCCCCACAAGGAGCTCCACCGAAGGCCACAGTGGCTGCGTTCACGTGCGCCCACCGCACCGATTTCGGCACACACCTCACACGTTTCGTGGCCCCACAGGGAGCTCCACCGAAGGCTCCAATTCTTGCGTTCGCATGCGCCCACCGCACCCATTTCGGCACACCTTTCACACGTTTCTTGGCCTCATAAGAAACTCCACCGAAGGAACCAGTGGCTGCGTTCACACGCGCCCACTTCGGCACACCCCTCACACGCTTCGTGGCCCCACAGGGAGCTCCACCGAAGGCCAGTGGCTGCGTTCACGTGCGCCCACCGCACCTACGTCAGCACACCCCTCACACGTTTCGTGGCCCCACAGGGAGCTCCACCGAAGGCCACAATGGCTGCGTTCACATGCGCCCTCCGCACCAATTTCGGCACGCCCCTCACACGTTCCGTGGCCCCATAGGGAGCTCCACCGAAGGCACCAGTGGCTGCGTTCACATGCGCCCACCGCACCCATTTCGGCAACCCCCTCACACGTTTCGTGGCCCCACAGGGAGCTCCACCGAAGGCTCCAATTCTTGCGTTCGCATGCGCCCACCGCACCCATTTCGGCACACCCCCTCACACGTTTCGTGGCCCCACAGGGAGCTCCACCGAAGGCCACAGTGGCTGCGTTCACGTGCGCCCACCGCACCCATTTCGGCACACCCCTCACACGTTTCGTGGCCCCACAGGGAGTCCCAGCGAAAGCCACAGTGGCTGCGCTCGCATGCGCCCACCGCACCCATTCTGGCACACCCCTCACACGTTTCGTGGCCCCACAGGGAGCTCCACCGAAGGCCCCAGTGGCTGCGTTCCAATGCGCCCACAGCACCAATGTCGGCACACCTCTTGCACGTTTCGTGGCCCCACAGGGAGCTCCACCGAAGGCACCAGTGGCTGCGTTCGTATGCGCCCACCGCGCACATGTCGGCACACCCCTCAAACTTTTCGTGGCCCCATAGAAAGTTCCCTCTCGTTCGTTCAACCTGCCTTGTGGTACTTGCAACTGCATATGGTTGGGTCCTTCGTCAGGCGAATTTGGTTTTGCAGGCCCCAATGCTCGCGGCGGCCCCCCCTCCCAGCACCCTTTTCCGCGCCTCCGAAACCCCTCAAAAAAACAAAAATACGCAGTAATTGACGGTCTTGGTGCAATTAAATGCACTGCTCAACTCTCCGTACAATATACAGATATGCGTCGACGCTCGGACCAAACAGCGGCGAGCCCTCCTATTTGAGTGAGGGAGGGGGAGAGCAGGAGGAGGGGTAGGGTGAGGAGGAAGGAGGAATGGGGGGGGGAGGGCCCGCTCCGCAGAAGGTCAATCACCCCCACTTCAAATACGCAAGCCAGCGTAGATCTCGTCGCCCAAGAGCCGGGCTCCGCGCCAGCGCCGCCAGGTCAGCCTGGCTACCAGCGTCCGACGGGCGGCTGGCCAGCTTCTGGGTAAAGAGTCTGGCCAAGGACCGTTCCACGTCCTCCTCCTTCGGGGTGCAAAAGATCGGCATCGAGAACGGGGGGGAATAGAGAAAGATCAGGCCGTTTCAAAGGCGGCGGGGCTTCTCAGAATCCCCCGGCCTTCTGAGAAGTCTCTTGCATCTTCGGGAAGGCTCAGAAACTTACCAGAAAGCCCGAAGCCTTCCGAGGCTTCTTAGACCCCCCGCCCGTGCACACGTTTCCCCGGGCGCGCCGCCGACAAAAAAATAACCCCACCCCAGACATCCACGCGCTCTAGAAAAAATAACGACGGGAAGTCTTCGCCAGTTTCGGCCTCTGGGTGCACTCGCCAGGCCTTGGGGCCGTCAAAAAACGACTCCAGGAGAAAAGCCAATCCTGGGGAACAGGCCGAGACCCCTGGGGATCCGCGTGGTGAAAAAAACGCACGTCGGGGATAGCAAAGTTGATGTTCTTTTGTGGGAACCCCTTGGAGCCACTCGCTCCGCTTGCGCGTCGATGTTGGAGGGAGCGCGATCCACCACCGCTGGCCAAAAAATATATTATAAGGAGGGAACATAAACCAAGGCCCTCCCTCCCCCATTAAACAAGAATCAGAAAAATATTGGAAACCAAGTGACCCCCAACTTCCCTTACCATCCTCCCCTGGAAAATTCTGCGGGGAGTCCAGAATCCTCCCCCGCCCTCCTTGGCAACAACGACGACGACGCTTACGACAACGATTACGACGACGCGTACGACGATGCCGACGGCGGCGACAACGTCAGCGGCGGCGCACCTGTCATCAACGCCCGCGCCAGGCGCCAGGTCTGCACCAGCGATAAGAAAATGCCACCACGGTTCAATCCAGCTGTCTCTAGGCCTGGATCCAGCTCTACTAGAATCCGGATGCTAGGGCTGGATCCAGCTCTCACAATAAGGTTGGAAGCAAGCAAGGCTTGGTTAAATCGAATCGGTCCGAAAACGGCCAAGAAGAAGCAAGGCCCGGACGTGGGTTGAGATAAACGGATTCACGTGAGGCGTTGGAAAATTGCAAAGGGCTGGATGGACCTTACAAAAATCATACATAGGCACGATCCAGCTGTCATGAAGTCCTGGATGCACGCCTACTGGATCCAGCTAGATTGGAGTCGTACTAAGGCTCTTTCCGTATGCTTGATGCGTGAGACCGACTCTAAAAGCATCTCACTAGGGGTCAATCCAGCTCAAATAGAATCCCACTGGGGACAGATCTAGCGAGATTCGACAAACTTATGGAACTGGACCCAGCCATACTCGGATCGTACTGGGGATCGATCCAGCTCTCTTTTTCTCTCTCTCTCTCTCTCTCTCTCAGAATCCTGCTAGGACTGGATCCAGCTGTAATCGAATCATACTAAGGCTCGATCCAGTTCTAACAGAATCCTGCTAAGGCTTAACCAGCTTTGAGAACATCCTTCATGGGGTCGATCAAGCTCTCTGAGAATCCTACAAGGGCTCGAATCATACTTGATGGAATCCGATTAGGATTCGATCAAACTCAAATCGAATCCTACGAAAATTGAATCCAGAGCTAATAGAATCCGACTCAGGCTCGATCCAGCTCTGATAGAAGCCTACTATGGCTGGGTCCTGTTCTAATAGAATATCATCAAGGTTGGATCCATGTCTGATGGGACTCAAAAGAAGCTCGATCCAGCATGAATGCAAATTCGCTGTAATGTTGGTTCCAGCTCCGACCGAATCCTACAAGGGCTCGGTTCATATGCAATCGAATTCTGCTAGGGGTGGTTCCAGCTCTAATAGAATCCTCTCAGGGCTAGACCAGCTCTGATAGAATCCTAGAACTCGCTCCAGCATTAATCGCATCCCACTAGGGCTCGATCGTCGTCGCTGGAGTCGTCGTACGCGTCGACGTACGCGTCGTCGTACGCGTCGTCGTCGTCTTCGTCATCGTCGTCGTCGTTGGCGTCGGCGTCGGCGTCGTCGCCCTCGCCGTCGCCGTCGCCGTCGTCGTCGTCGGCGACGTCGTCATCGGCGTCGTCGTCGTCGTTGCCAGGGGGTGTTCTGGAACCCTCGAATCATTTTCCCGCGGAAGAGGGCGGGGGGAGCTCTGGACCCCGCGAATGACTTTACCAGGGAGTGGAGTGTGTTGAACCCTCCGACTGCCAGCAGCGGCAGAAAACGCCCGTGCCGAGATTGCGTCGAACGTCCGCTGACTCGAGCCAAGCTCGAGCCGAGCCAGCGCCCAAAACTCGAGTCCGTTTGGTGGACCCCAAGAAAGTCCCCAAAGCATGTATTGACCAAGAGAATGCCCCGACCCCCACATCCCCCTTCCTGTGGGGAAGGGGGGCCAGCTGGGGATGGACGTGCCCTGGAATCCGACGTCACGAAAACACTGCAACATCGTACAAAAATTCGGCCAAACCCCTGGACCCATCTTTCTGGTGCATTTTTCGGGCCGTATCGATCCGTGAGGGCCCTGGGGTCCCGAAACAGAGCAGAATCGTCCGCTGTGAAAAACTGCGACGCCAGGATTTCAGGGCGCGCTCCCAGGGTTGGGGGAGGGGGGTCATGTAGGACGGAGGCGCGCTGTATTCTACCATGACAGAAAAGGGTCCTGAGGGAAACCGGGTCCTGAACCTCGGGGCCCTCCTCGGGGACCAATTCTTCAACCTGAGTTGTTTTTGGACGGTCCCAGGGCCCGTGGAGGACCATTGGGGCCCGAGAAACGGCGGAAAACCTCTGGGACCCCTTTGGCTTCATGACGAGTCCTAGCTGATGGGCAAAGTCCTCCACCACCCACGCGGCGAGGGGGGCCAGCGCAAATTTCAACGCGCCCCCTGCGCCCAATCCAATGTTGGTTGGCATCACCAGCGGGGCGCAGGATTTTGGCCAGTCGACAGATCTAGACATCGCGGCGCAGCCCGCAATTGGGGGCGCCGGGGATGTTCACAAAAACCAGCATACAAGGTTAAAGAATTTGTCCATCAACCGTTTCGCTGGACGCCCGACATGGGTACGGAAAAAATGGGTACCATGCCCATCAGCAAATAATGTCCAGAACCAACAGCGGCAGAGGTTGGGCGGGCGGCCTTGTCTCAAATGGACCACATCCGCGACAGCGAATCCCATCAAAAATAGACAGGAGCTGCTGTCAGTCTGCGCACCTATTGTGTAACATGTCCCTGGCGCCTCCCAGGGTCCGTCTGGCGCAGCTTTTCACACGGATCCGTTTTTAGCGGTCCTGGGACCTGGGACTGGCCCCCAGAGACCGAAAAGGCCAAAACCCTTCTCGAACCAACCACCTCTGAAGGGGAACTGGGACACACAAATAAATACACACAAATAAAATATTCCCCATATTCTCCCATATTTTCTTGGTTTTTGTCTTCCCCCCCCCCACCGCCCATATTTTCCCATATTTTCTGGGGAATCGTCGATTAATTGTGTCTGTGTTTTTTCCCTCCTGACAATCACCTCGGACCTCGCAGCCCCTTCCTGCTGGCCGGAACCTGTGCTGGACCACCCCGCCCTCCAGCCGGCTGCAAACTGTGCCCGCCCGGCCGTGTCCCGAGGCCCGCATCGTCGATGCCTCGCCGATGCACCAGTGGCGTCGGCGATGCATCGGCGACGCCGCCGTGGAGAGCATCGGGCTCCAACAGCAACCGTGTCTCTCCCCAGATCTAGGGGTTCTACTGACCTGGGTCAGTCCGGACCTGGGTCAGTCAGGCTTTGCAAGATACTAAAAGGTCCTGCAGGACCCTGCAGGATCCTGCACCCGAACCCGGGGTCCATGCAACCCTGGCTCTGCAGGCTCCTGCAAGATCCGGCGCTCTGACTGACCCCCGTTTGCATTGACCCCCGTCTCTTGTTTGGACGCCCGAAATGGGTGCGGGGAAACAGGGTACAATGCCCAACAAGTCCAAAACCGACAGCGGCCGCTGTTGGGCAGGCGGTTTTTTGTCTTCAGTGAACAACGACCGCGGCAGCGCGGACAGCCAGTCGTGTTCAAAATGATCTTGAGCCTGGAAGGTCTCCTCCTCCCGGGTCTCAATGCATCCCTGTCCCTGCAGGGTCCTGCAAGATCTGGCGCTCTGGCTGACCCACGCCTGCTTCGACCCCCATCTCTTGAGCCCCGAAGATGTCTTTCCTTGCCAAGCTGTGGGTAGGTTCGGGCATGTCCCCCTACAATAGTCGAACTAAATACCCCGAAATAGTCCAAAACAGTCAAAAACACAAAACGTCCCCATATTATATTTTGACTATTTTTGAATATTCGTCCTGTAGAGGGACATGCCCGACGTAAAGCTGTGGGGGCGCCGATGCGCCCGCAGCGTCTCAGCAGAACGGCCGCGCGACGCCGCCGAGCAAGAAGAAAGGCGCCTCTCACGAGGCAGTCGTGCGCAACGTCGGGGGCGCGCAAACATGGATTAGCGATCCTTTGATTTGGCGCGCGGTCGCAAAAATCCATGGATCGGGGGAGGTGCCCTCCCCATAATGCGGCCAGTGCCGCCTCGCTCGGCGGCGGAAGTCTGCGGCGTCCCATGGAAACGGGCCCCCTCGCTAATCCACGCCCCCTTGATCCATGCTTGCGATCGCCTGACAACGACCCCGGCGAGATGGTCCCCAGGACGGGCAGCGCCCGGGCGAGGGCCCCGACCAGGATCGAGAGCTCCAAGAGAGGGCCAGTGCCAGAGACCGCGACCAGAGCCAGAAAGAGGCAGCAAAAGGACGAGGGAGGCCATCGTGGGTCGCTCAGGAGAGCCAAGAGTCGGGGATGGACAGACCTCCCTTTAGTAAAACGTGGTTTAGTGAAAACGACCTGAGGCCCAAACCTGGCGGGCGCAAGCCTGGAAAATGACGGCCGCGGCGCACTCTCGAGAACCGAAAACGGACAATTCACTAATCGACGTGTCACTGTTGGGGGTTCTGTCCACCCCCGAAAGAGGACGGTTCTGGGTCCCGAAGATCTCCTCCTCCTCCTCCCCCGGCCGCCGCACCGCCTCCGGGTCCGACGCGCTCTTCCTGGGCGCCCCCGGCGGCAGGGCCGCGTCCTGGGAGAGCGGCACGGCGTGCAGCGGGGGCGAGGAGGCGTGCACCTCCTCGCGTGGCGGGCGCGCAGCGGAGCGGGCACAAAAACAACAACTCGGGAAGATCCAAGAGGGGGCGAGAAGGAGGCGGAATAGGAGGAGGAGGAGGAAGAGAAGGAGGAGGAGGAAAAACAACAGAGGAAGAGGCGGAAGAGGAGGAGGAGGAAGAAGAGAGGGAGGAGAAGAAGGAAGCGTAGGAAGAGATAGAGGAGGAGGAGGAGGAGGAGGAGGAGGAGGAGGAGGAGGAGGAGGAACAGGAGGAGGAGGAGGAGGAGGAGGAGAGAGGAGGGAAGAGGACGGGGTCGAGGATCAGATCAGCTTCGCCGAGCGCCGCTGCTCCGGCAGGCAACGTAACTGCGGCATCCAGCACCAAGATTATGTTTTTCCGAACCAAAGCGAGGGGGCCAAACGGTCTTACGGCTGGCGTTGCAAAGATATCGTGCAACATCGATCTCCAAAAAGCATGATATACCTGTGAGACGATCCTCCCGCGAGGGCCCCTTGTGCGCACAATATCCCCCTGCGAGGGTCTCGTCGGTGCACGCTATCCCCCTGCCTTCCTCCAGGTAAGGGGTAGCGTGTAACAAGCTGGCCGGTGGCGCCACATCGCAGGTTAGCTTTGCAACGCCAAGCGTACGCCATCCCCGGGTGCGTGGGTGAAGTGGGATCCCGAGGTCTGGACTCTGCTTGTTTGCCGATCGCTGCTTGCTGCTGCTGCATTCGTTGTCCTCCTCCCTGCGACCCCCCGGCGACCCACCCGCATCCCACTCCCCGAACCACCCGCGCCCGCCCCGTCATTCTTACCCGCAGTTGCAGTGTGCTACAAATTCTGGCAGCGGTCGTTACCTGGGGTGGATCCAAAAGGCCCGGGGGCAGCGCGCGGGGGCCATGCGATCGCCATGGCATGCGCGCGGGCACCAGCATGTGGGGGGGGGTCCAGCCTCCCCCCCACCGTCCGATCGTTACCGTGACCCCGGAGGGAGGGAGGGGTTGGCCAGGGTAACGACCGTTACGCGCCGAAAGATACACAAAAAAACAGTCTCCCAAGAGGGGGGGTCACAAAACATGGCCCAGCGCTTCTGCGAAGCCGAGGGGGGACCAAGGTGCGTCCCAAAAGAAGACGAGGGGGCCAAGATATCTGGGGGGATGCCATGGCCACCTCCATGATATCCAATCCCCCTGGTCACCACCCCTCTCCTGGACACCCCCGAAGTAACGAACCAATGCGGAGACAACCTCCCCGGACCTCAGGGAATTTGTGTGTTTCAAATCCTTTCCATCCGGGCGTGGCTCCTCGATCTCGGCCTCCAGCGGGGATCTACTGACCCGGGTCAATCCAGACCCGGGTGGTTAAGGGTTGCAGGATCCTGCAAGATTCGGCGGTGGACAAACCTCCCCTTAGTAAACCTCCCCTTGTGAAAACGGCCTGGGACCGAAACCGACGGACCTGGATCCGCAAAAATGACGGCCGCGACGCCCTCTCGCGAACCGAAAACGGCCAATTCACTAATCGACGTGTCAGGGTAGGAGGTCTATCAATCTCCGAAAGATCCCGCGGGATCCCGAACCCCAAACCCCGTGGCCCTGCAGGATCCTGCAGGAGGCTCTCTCGAGCCCCGACTCCAGGGCCCACCCTTGGGCCCGGGAGCCATCCAGGAACACAACGGGACCTCTGGGAGGCGGCCCGAGGGCCGGGACCGGGACATCTGGGGTTCAGTCGGGCCTGTCCCCCCTACAGGGGGATTTTCGACGAAAAAATGAGAGAGAGAGAGAGAGATATATATATATATATATATACAAATAAATAAATACTCCAAAAATATTCTGGGGATTATGTTTTGCATATATTTTTTACCTTTTTGGGGCATTTGGGGGGTATTCTTAATTTTTAGTCGAAAACCCCCCTGTACGGGGACACGCCCGACATAAATCTGGGGCCGCGGATCAAAAAAAAACATATGCCTGAGGAGGCCTGGGCACGACGCCCAGCAGCAGATGCCGTCCACAGCCAGCGGCGGCCGCTGTCGTGGCGGAGGGCCTCTGAAAAGGCGAAGCCAGGACGGGAAGAAATTCGGGTGTAAGGATATAGTCCGGAACCTCTGAGACTGGGCGGCTCTGGAGGACGTCTCGGGCGCCGCGGTCCTCTCAGAGCGTTCTGGAACGCTCTGAGAGCGTTCCGGCGCGCTCCGGAACGGATTCATCCTCGTCCTAGTATTAGGTCGGGCATGCAGGCGGATTTTGGGAGGAACAACAAAAAAAAAGTAGTCAAAAAAAACAAAAATCTTCAAAAGAGCACCGAAAATCGTCCCCTGACTAGGGTCCCAGGGGGAAGGGGCCCGGACCTCGGGGCGGCTACGCTGCGAGGAAGCCACGACGGAGGTCTGGGACGCGACCTGCTTGAGGTCGCCTCGCTCCGCGCGGCGCCGCGCCCCGCGATGGGCACTGCGCAGCTAGCTCTTGGCAGGCTCGCGCCGCCCTCTGGGGGAGGCCAGCGGTCCGACTCGGGCCGCGATGCGCGAAGCGCTGTCGCCTTCGCACCCCTGCGGGTGACCCTGCTGTCCGCAGCCTGCGGCGGCATCCGTCGCACAGCCGACCTGCTGTGCCTCGAGGGGGCGACGTCCGAGGGCAGCACCCGCTGCAACTCCTGCCCAGGACGGGCAGGACCTGCTGCTGCGGGTCGTCGTCCCCGTTCCTCCCGTACAGGCCTCCCATATGGGGTCGGAGCAGGTGGGGTCGGAGGATCGCACCGCATCGGCGACGTCGGCGACGCATCGGCGCCGTCGGCATGGAGAGAATCGGGCTCCGCATCGAGCCGCATCCGCGATGCATCGGCGATGTGACGCGGCCTCCGACCCCATCTAACTTGGACTTCACCTGTGAGGCCCAGATTCCGTCCCCGTTTCGATCGCACCGATCCTGGAGCTGCGAGGGGCTCCTGGAAGGGACAGCAACAACAACAAACACAAAAACTTCAACTCGAACCTTCGGAGGCCTGCCTGGATCCCTCGGGCTGGCGCTGGAGCCCCCCTCCCGCTGCCGATGTTGCTTCAAATTCCAGCATCGGTCGCTACCGATGTGCTTCGAATTCTAGTCTCGGGCGCTATCGAGTTGCTTCAACATGGGTTGCGACCGACTGGTCGCAATCGGTCGCGATCGACTTGGAGTGCCGATGGGTCTCTACCGATCGCGATCGAGAAACTCCGGGGGTCCCTGGCGCGCGGGGCGGGACCGGGGGGGCCGCAAGAGGGTCCAGCGCTGGCCCAAGAAACTCTAGCGGACCTCCGCCAAGACACAGATGGTGAAGAAAGAGCTGCCTGTCGAAGAGCTGGACCAGCCAACCCTCCGGCCAACCCTCTAGCCAACCCTACCTGACCCTGCGGCCAACCCCGGCCAACCTTCCAGGCCAGACCCTCTGGCCAGACCCTGGTCGGGGCACCTCTTTCAATAAAAAGTACTGGGGGACAGAAAGGTACAGACATCACCACTCCACGGACCTCTCCAGGGGTGCGCTCTGCCCGGGGTTCCACGACGAGTCCGGCCGTTGCGACGAACGCCTCCCACGAAATAGCAACGGCATCTGAGACCCAGACCAGCGCAGATCCCCCAGAG